GTATTTATGCAACTTTTTTTATAAAATTATTTTAGTTATTTTTATTTCTTTATAACTTTAGTAAACATTTAATAAAAATAATCATTATTATTATTATTACTAATATTAATAGTTATTCGGTGATAACCAACAAATGGTTCATAGTTTTCACTGTTTTCAGCTCTTAGTCTTTTCACGTAAACGTCATGGCTTTTTCAAAAATATGTGAACACTTAAATGTAAAACCACTCTCARTATGATTAATTAAACATACACGATATCGTGCCATGTTCTTATAAAATAAATGTGCAAAAGTTAAATGTCTCAAATKAATGTGTAAAACTTAAAATTATAAATAAGCTGATGATTTACATATATAAAATCCAACGAAGGAACTGTTATCATTTCATCAATAGCACCAATATCTTTAGTGAAACGGTTCAAAATCCGTCCTGATAAAATAATAAATATTCATTAAAATATGTAAGTTTATATTCAATCAATAATTAATAAAATTTTCTACCAGAGGAATTTGTATTGAAGAAATACATAGTGGCTCTGGTTATAGCGTTGAACATACTAGTGTGTAAATTCATAGATGCGCCTATAAAAACTGATACGAATGTAGCACATCTTATTAAAACAACTATAATCATAGCTACGTTTATGACAGTATATATTATAACACAAGAATGGCGAGATATTACCCACGGTGTATCAGGTGTTTCGTAAGTCATAAAATTACTAATATTGGTAGATTTACTTTCTTCTTTACGAAAAACGCGATCTTCTAGGTTAACCCTGAAATAAAAGTGTATTTTCTTAACTTAGAATTAAAACTAATTAACAAAATAAAAACAAAATTACCAATAACTTATCCAATAATCTCCACCTGTAGCAAGCACTTGAGTGAATAAACATATGCATAATAAAAAAAATATTTTAAAAACATTCCCTCCAGCAGAAATATAAGACAAATAAACACTACGTGAAACTTTTCCGGAAGACCTAGCTTCAGCCACCTCAATGGGTGCTACTTGAGTCTCATTTAATTTATTCTCATCAATGGATGACGAAATACTTTTAAGAGACCCTTGTCGAGATAATTCTGAGATCGGTTCAAAATCACTATTAGGTTCATTTTTATTATCGATTTCAGTATCGGCAGTTGTTTCATCCGACGGTTTAAGTAATTTTGTAAAGTCTAAGCCAGAAGATTGTAGTTCTTGATACGAACCCTCGGCTAATATGTTTGCCTACAGAGAAATAAAAATAGAATATCATTCAATTTTTAACAAACCATATTTTGTATTAAAACTGTTTACAAATGTAACTACTTACATTTTCCATCAAAACGATTTGATCAACACTCGATAAATATTGTATTTGGTGAGTAACTAGAATACAAGTTTTCTCTTTGAGATAACCTGTAGATTATAAATATAATATCATCAAAAGAGTTAACTAACGACAACTTAATAAGACTT